GCACCACAGTTGTATTTAACTTCTTAACAAATCATTGCAAATAATTTGAAGCAGTTCAGATTCAGAAGATGAAAGAATGCATGTTTTTAAATACCTTAGGGTTTAATAGTATTTATTATGTCTGATATGTCTAGCAAGTTACGTGACCTGTTTCTTTTGACCCCTCTCTCCCATCTCTAATTTCTCTGTTGGACATATATGCCCCAGTGTCAAATAAATTTGATAGTGACAGATCAAACTCCCCTAACTCCGTATAACTTGCTAGACAAGTTTCAATCTGCATTTTGACTTGGGCACAGTTGTGAGACAGCACTGTTCAGTGATATGAATGCTGTTCTTTGTAGTGTTGACCATGACAATCTGACAATATTGGTTCTGTTTCAACTCAGTGTTGCATTTGATGTGAGTGACCATGAGTTTCTTCTTTCAAGGCTTCTGAATGTGGAAGGCATCACTGAAACTGCACTTCGCTGGTTTTCTTCTTATCTAATTGACAGTACTCGTCTTATTGTAGTGAAGCAGGCATATTTAATGGACGCTTCCATTACCTGTGGTGTGCCACAGGTTTCGGTTTTAGGACCTATGCTGTTCTCCATGTACACCAGCCAGCTCGGCAAAATTATTGAAAGTTATCGTATTTCCCGCAAAATATTTGCGGATAACACAGAATATACAAGTGTTTCCGTCATGAATATTTGGAGTGTGCTGCTGCTGTTCAGGCTGTCGAGGACTGCTGTCTTGCTGTGAAGGAATGTATGTCATCAAACAGACTAAAATTAAATGATGATAACACTGAGGTTTATTTTTGGTTAAGATGCCAACCTTCGGAAAGTTGACATTGCATTAATAACAGTTGGTGAATCAGAGATACCGTTGTCCTCGACTGTCAGATACCTTTGCTTTCATATATTGGTATGATTCCCTATATCAGTTATGTGGTCAAACCATGATTCTGTCATCTTTGCGCCCTGGGTCAGCTATGTCCTCAACTCAATAGGAGAACAGCCAATGCTGTAGTGGTAACTCTAATCCAGTCAATATTAGATTATTGTAACAGTTGTTTGTGGGGTCTACCATCGAACAAAAATCAGAGTCTCCAAAAGATACCAAATACTACAGCATGCATTGTATCGCTGATAAAGAAATCTGACCACATCACCCCAGTTCTAAGAGAACGCAATTACTGTGAGTGAGCACATTGACTTATAATTTGCGTACAGCTGCATAGATAGCTCAGCACCGTAATATATAAAATAGCTGATGTTTAAACATTTATCATTAAAGAGCCTGTGGTCTTCAACTCAGTCCTTCCAGAAAATCCCAGTCTGGGCGAACACAGAAAAAGTTTTACGGAGTGCGCACTTTTGAAGCGATAGCGCCAAAATTAGGGAACAATTTGCCTCAACCTTTCAGAGGAATTGAAAATGATAAAAAAATCATCTACGAAACATTTTTACAACTTTTTTGTTTAAAAAGATTTAAGAAAAGCAGAGCGCATTGAGAATGCAAAATTGGCTTGCATAACAGCGCTATATAAATATTCAATCCATCAATCAAGCAAACAATCTTCACATGGTTTCTATTATTAGCACCCTGTGAAAAAATTGACTCTTTTTCCTGACGTGTAAGTGCAAATTTTTTTTTTTTTTTTAACTTTTGGTTGGGAGGTTTGTTGAATATTTTATTAATCAATAAAGAGCCATCAGTATGGTTTATCTCTTTATTGATGTCTAAGTGACTGTCTTTTAAAATATATGTAGTACTGTCTGTAGGTTTATTATTTAAATGCCGGCACATAAAGTCTAGACCCTTCTGTAAACCTTTTGTTTAAAGGCCTAAAGAAATGGATAAGGCTGTCGGAAGCCTATTCTTTAAGGGTCGACAGGTTGGTTGTGGGATAATTTTTTTTGACTAAAGTTTAAAGGCTTTCATGTGGGGTAAAGGACTATATGTAGGCCTATTTCATACGGGCCGGCAGTAGGGTGTTGGACTATCTGTAGGCCTATTTCATAAGGCCGGCATTAGGGTGTTGGACTATCTATAGGCATTTTTCTCAAAATACCCGGACACAGTTTAAATAATACTGCTCCCGATTAAACCCAAGAATTTTTATTTAATCTGAAACCATGCAGGGCAAAGGTATTCAACTAGAAACTGAAACAGTTTTTTCAATGTGTTGTTGTTTTTAAAAGTTTATTTCATATTTAGTTCCTAAAGTGGAAACAATTAAATAAAAGAGTTGTTGTAATCAAATAAAAATTGATTAAAAGTATCATAATGATGACAACGGTTACAATCAACTAGCTGCTTTCGAATAGTTTTTATTTACTTTCTTTCTAAGTTTTAACACGAAAGTGGGGGAAAAAAACAAAACAAAGTATAAAAATTAATTTACTTTATTTTTTTTTAAAATTAATAAAAAAAGATTTTACTTTTCAGCTCAATGACTATTTCAGCCAAAAACCCTATAAAATCACACTAACAAACACTCGCATAAAACTCTCACAAATGTAATTGATATATTTTAAATTATTTTAAAAACACATTACAAAAATTCAAAAAGGACAATAGAAATGATCGAATAGATACATTTGACCTTGTTCGGGTTAAAAAATGTACAAAAACTTACTGAAAAATTCTGTTCCACACGAAGAAAACATGGTACAGAAAAAAAATGAAAATTTAAAAAAAAAGCTCCCCTCCCACATCCGTCATTGTGAAAACTCGTCCACTTTCAAAAAGTCCCTTAAAATCCACCTGTTTAGGTCCGCCTATGAGGTGTGATGCACCCTCCTTGCCCTGTCTCATTTTCTGTCTCGGGTTGATCCTGTAGTATAGGCCAAAACGTGCCAAAGTGTACTTGTTTTTATAGCCCTTTTAATGTTTAAGCTACTTTTTCTATAGTCCTTTTTAACATAGTTGTTACTATTCTAGTGTCTCTGGTTTTTCATTTTTATTTTACTTTAGCAGTTTAAATAATTTACATCTTGTTAATGATTGTGAAGCGCTTATAGCTTTAACGTAAGCGCTATATACAAATGCCTAAATAAATAAATAAATAAATAATTATATCTTTTAAAATTTAAAGTCAAATTTTCTTTACTTTTAGATTTTTTTTTTTTTTTTTTTTTTTTTTTTTTTTTATTTTTTTTTTTTTTTTTTTTTTTTTTTTTTTTTTTTTTTTTTTTTTTTTTTTTTTTTTTTTTTTTAAAGATTATTACTTTTTTAAATAGTATATGTAAATAATGAATCTGAAAACAATGTATATGTTATTTGACACACACTACTGCACGGTTAATTATAATTGATGTAGCTATACATATTATTGTATTTTAATTAATAAAAGGAAAAGAAGTTAGTCCATCTTGACAATATTTTCTTTTAATGTATTGCCTTGTATTTCAACACACCGTAAATAAAGGGCTGTGTGGTGTTTATGACTTTTGTTGGTTTTTATATTAACTTATGATTTAAAAAAAAATTATTTGTGGCTTATAATAAGAATTACACAAGCAATCATGTTGTCGTGATTAGATATTACTTAGTAAAGGAAAACTGTGGAGTATTAACCAAGGGTCCAAGCAAAGCCATGTCAACCTCCTACTAAATTTCTTCATTTCTTAATGGCCTACCAATCCCAGACTTTGGCCAAGTTAAATTTTAAACGAAATTATGATTTCAGCGTCCTTTCGACCGATCTTTATTTTTTAAAATTATTTTTTTTTTGAGCCAGTTATGATTTTAAAAACAAAATGTTGTCATTGCCATGTGCATACACTTCAAATCCCTTTGAAAATCACACAGCCTACAGCACGGCCATTAGACCTTAAAATCCTGACAGACCTACTTCACGGCCATTCGACCTGAAAAACGTGTACAACCTCTACAAAGTAAGGGTAAACCATATAGATTAACATGCATGTAATTGTTAATTTTGTTAATTAAGATGAAGTGCATTAATTTCAAGATAAAGTATAAAAACAACTATTAAATAATTTTTAAAAAAAAAATACAAAAAACTAAGAGGCTCTTTAATGTGTAAAGTTTGGAATATTTCAGCAAAACTTTAACAAAGTGGTCGATTTAGAAGTATTCTATTTTAAACAAATACATTCGTTTTTAATAGGGTTGCATACAGTGGTTGATTTAAGGAAAAATATATATGTAATTTTATATATATTTTTAAATTATGAAATTAAATATAAATGTAATATCAATAAGTAAAAGGACGAAACAAAAAAGGTTGTCTTTTTTAAGTGTGAAAGGTTATACTGATCATTTGGAACGTGTTACAAAAAATCTTGAGCGATTATTTGAAATTTCCAACAACTCCATTATAACATAATATAGAAACATTCATTACTTACAAGAGGATTGATCATATATTTAAATAAATAGTTATATGCATAGTTATATATATATATATATATATATATATATATATATATATATATATATATATATATATATATATATATATATATATATATATATATATATATATATATATATATAGAGAGATAAATAGATATATATATATATAGATATATATCGTTAAATGTGCCTGTAATTATATTAATGATACGCAACCATTTATTAAGTAAGCTTTAGAAGGGGCGGGGGGTGGGGGGGGGGGGCGTCGATAGTTGCGGCACATTAATTACCTCTCAATTCTTCACGTCTTGGTCAGGTAAACAAACAAACGCAACACTGACATGACACAGCATGNCAGGATATGTGGATTACGTCCTACGAAGCCCACTCCATCGTCACATTGTGAAGGACGGATGAAAAAAAAAAAAAAAAAAAAAAATATATATATATATATATATATAGAGAGAGAGAGAGATTTAAATTGTATAGTGATAAAGAGAGTTAAATTCTTGCTGTTGCATTTTACTTGTAAAATCGAATTTTATGAATTTTTATTTTTTGTCAACGCCAACGGAGCTAGTGTTGATTTGACAAGTTTTTTCGCTCTCTATTTTTAATCCTTTACTGTGGTTGTGTGAGTGTCCAAACCAGTAACCATACCCACAGACGGGCTGACCAAGAATAAACACAGGATAACCACTGCTTCCAGGGCACGTAATAGCGTCGTATTTATATCTACACCACTCTTGACCAACCCTAACTTCCTTGAGGATTTCTTTTTCACCCACAAGCTTACCAAAACTTACTTTTTTGGTTAGACCATGTGGATATCCTGTGATTACAACCAAGGTGGCATCATGTCTGTACTTGTCGTAGAGGTTCCCTTGCACTTCCTTTAAAATCTTTAATGTGGTTTCAATTTTTTGAACTTTTTCTATTTCGTGAGAGACAAATTCAACCGCACACCAATCTTCATTATTATCTTCATCTCGATCTGTCTTGGAAATTTTGTTTCCGTAAATTGTGAAAGATAGTTCTGGTGTCTCTAACAACATAGTTGCGTTTCTTACACTTCCATTCTCACCGACAACGTGGTTTACAGTGGTGACTGTCAGTACGGCATACTCGTCGTATTCGCCGTTGCATTTTTGACATGGGCATTTACTTAGTTTACCTTGCCTTATTTTTTGAACGAAGCCCGTCCCTCTTTTCTTGATTCGTTCCATATTCTCAGAAACGCAAATACGTCCGGTCAATGCAGCTTGGAGTGTAATGAAATACAAAAGTTCGCTTTCCTGATAATTCTCTGGCAATCTATTTAAACTAAGGTCATTAATGTCAATGTATCTATCATGGTTATTTTTTGTGCAGTTCTTATATTTGTCCTCAAATTTTTCGTTGCCCGTGATTCTCTCTTCTTCTGTTAAACCTTTCAGAATATATTAGTTTTTTTAAAGCTATAAAAATAGGTAAATTGTATGTGGTCAAGAAATATATATTTCATGTAGTATAATTTGTTGAACGTCTTGAAAATAAAAGTTCTAAAACTCAAATTAAATAATCTTTCATGTTAATCATAATATTTTCTTATTATATTAAATATATCTTACCATTCAAGTAAGGATTAAAAGATGCCATATTATATACACATATAGGATATCATTAGAGATGTGACTTCTTATAAATGATTTCGCATATCATAAAAATGTCTAACAAACTTTTAGCACAAAATGTTTGGAATTTATAAATCATATAAAGGATATTTTAAATGATGACACAATAAAAATAAAATCATGCGATCAAAATAATAATAGGCCTTTTTAGGAAAGACGATGACGTAGTCCATTTTTTAAAAACTGAGCTTTTCTCAGAAAGGAATCAGTTATGTTCGTTAAGTCAGCGGTTCTAAATTAGATATAAATTTAGTTGTTAATCATATTTTAAGCAATGACTGTCGAAATTTAATCGAATGATGCTCACTTTTCTGTCATTAAATGTATATTTTAAACGTAGTTTAAATTGTATGTATTTAAAAAAGTTAAATAATGTTTATCTAAAAACCAGGTCAATCAATAATTTCTTTAAAAAGCGTTGAACAGAGGTTCAAATGGCGATGATTAAAGGAGAAATATACCAAAACTGAAACGTTAACTTGGAAGAATATGGTATATTTTATGTGATTGCGTTGACTTTGTCAAGCACCCTTATAATTATAATTAGTTTATTGAGTTATTTTTTTCAAGTACCTAGACACCCATTCTTCAAGTACCTCGCCAACCATTCTTCCAGTACCTGGACACCCATTCTTCAAGTACCTCGCCAACCATTGCTCCAGTACCGAGCCACCCATTCTTCTAGTACCTACCCTACCATTCTTCCAGTACCTAGCCACCCATTCTTCTAGTACCAAGCCACCCATTCTGCAGTACCTAGCTACCCATTCTTCCAGTACCTATCCTCCCATTCTTCCAGTACCTATGCTCCCATTCTACAAGTACCTAGCCACCCATTCGTCCATTACTTAGCCACCCATTTTAATAAAAAAAGAAAAAAGACTTGGCAGGTTTGAAAATATAAATTTCTGAATGTTTAGCTTTATCATCTTTGAAATATTAGATTTATCCAGTACTTTTGTGTTCATTTAGTAAATGAACATAATGTACAGGATGCATAGGTTGCAGGGGATTTTGAATTATTAAACATAGTAACCTAGTTAATTTTTTTAATTATTTGTTGTATGAATATGTTACGGTAGAGCTGGCTTCTTGTTATTTTGCATTCTCTTTAAGTCATGTTTTCTACTGTATCTCGATCTTAAACTTTGGCTGATCCCAAGTTTAATTATAAATAATTGTTTCCTTTAACTGCATTACATATAAACATAATATGTAGTGTTTAGAAATATAATAATTTTAGAACTGATGAGACATAATGATATACAGATGCCATGCATAACAATTTCCTGGCAAATTCTTTAAGTAAGACTATAAATAAGCCGATCGACAGAATGAGCATGAAATAGAGATTGAGACAGAGAGATTAAGAGATATAAAGAGCGAGAGAGAGAGAGAGAGAGAGAGAGAGAGAGAGAGAGAGAGAAAGAAAGAGTAATGTCAATTACGATAAGAGGCGGGAGCTATTTCATATACTTTGTGTAGATTTTGTGTATCTGTGTGCACGTTCCAACAGTGTGACGGTACAACGTCATTGCTGTACTGAAAGTGAATAGCAAACAGCAAAATTAACAACATTTTACCACTGAAAAGATCATTTGATTAATACTGGGAACTTCAGCATATTAAAGATATCCGTCGGTAACACATTTATTAAAAAGGAAGTAGTATACTGACAGTGTCCCTCCTTCATGTTAAAACTCCACTACATAGTTGTTTTGTCTTGTAATAACCCCCGGTGCTAGACTATTATCTATTTCGTTTATTCTGGAGTTTTTTGTTGTCTTTTTCTTGGGAATTGGGTATAAGCCATACATTGTTAAGCTTTCGTCACTTGTGACACTGTATGCTAGGTATCCTCTTCAGACACGTTCTCAGCGTAATAATGACTCTATTATTACGACATTGAAATGACATGTGGAATTTCTTTTTTACATTTAAGATATAATTAAAAGCAATCTTTGTACACAATTAAACTCACTCTTTGTTCTACATGTGAGGAGATTTCTCAAGAGGTATGTTTCTGTTTTTGTTTTTTACTAGTAATGATTTAAAAACTTTAAAGAAAAGAAATAATTATGCGTGCTGATTGAACTGATTGAGTTTGTTTTGCTAGTTTGGCAACAGTGTATCGTAAGCCAAAATTGTCATTGCAATTCCCTCTTACATTAAGTTTAATTCGAGTAAAGTGTGGTCATTAACTCCTATCAGAAAAACTGTCATGTTCCTATAATTCTTTTTAAAAAAAAAAAATTAATAAAAATGGTGTTATTTCATACAACCAATAAAGGAAAGGGTTTTGTGTTAATCTGTTTGCTACATAAATTCTTAAACAAAAAGGATTCTTTATTGCAAATGATAAAAAAAAATATATTTAAAATGTTATGTTATAATTATCCCTTAGTTGAAGCTAGTGCACAAATGTTGTCTTATGGAAGATAAAGCAGGCCAGGATAATTTAAAATGTAAGACGTAATAATTTATGACAAAACATGTGTTGGTCGAAAGAAAACAGGAAACTATTTAGAAAATAAGAAATATAAATCATATTTCGTTACTTTCCTGTAAGTGGTCCGCATGCGGCCCGCGGGCCGTATATTGTGCAGGGCTGGACTAAAATCATAGATGTTTTTATTAATATTTGTTACAAAATTATTGTTATGCTGTTGTTTATTTGGAATTGAAAATCAAATCATTGTGTGAAGCTCCAAATAGTCATGTTGGAAAACTATTTCCCTAAATGAGTTACTGCATTTGATGTAGATATACATGTCTCAATGACGTCTTCTGTTACTTCATCATGATGGGCTGCTCCACTCCATCTTTCTAGAAAGATCGATCCATGGATTTTTGCCTCCATGCGCGAACCCCCAAATGGTGTATGGCCTTCTCTACATTGTCGATCAATCTCCGCCTTGGTCGACCGGTGAGCTGTAAGCTCCTAGGCTTCTTTCTACCTATAGATCACTTTTGCTGCTCTACTATGCGGAATCTTTAAAATATGTTCTGTTCAGCGCAGCCTGCCTTTTTTTCTTGCGACGATGGGTGTGTCTTAGTACAATTGTATGGATTATCCTACATTCGTTGTCTATCACCAAACCATATTTTTTACTGAGGATTTTCCTCTTACATGTCTTGAGAATGTTAAAATTCCCTGAATGATTTAATTATGCCATTTCTGTATCTACCAGTAGTGTTATATCGTATTCGTATACAAAGTACTGCAATAGATTGCTATATAGAGTTCCTGATGGTTGTTGTTCTGTAATAAGTCTCTGGAAGTAGTTGGTAATGGTTCCACTAGTATCCACATGTATTTTTCTAATGGCCTTTCTAACGGTACGCTGAAGAGGAAGAATGCTAGTGAATCTCCTGAGGCCCTGAAAAATTGAAAACTCCCTCGAGTACTCTCACTGTACTTTGATTTTATTGTTGGAGTTAGGCTACCTTTAGTAATAAGTATGACATAGTTACCTTTGTTAAGGATTCTAAGATTCTGTAGAGCATTATGCAGTCATTCCCTGTCTACACTATCGCAAGAAGTTTAGTAGTCCACATAGTTTGTGTGTTGTGTTTGTAAAATTTCTCGAAGATTGATTACACAGGAACCAATTTCAGTCCATAATAGATTTCACTTTTTAATTCTATTATTTATAAGGGGTATATGGAACTTAAACATCTTAAAGTCCCAACACATGCACCGTGTTCAGATATTGTTTACGTATATCAAAAATTGAATCTGTGGTGTTATATTTGTCATGTTTATATCATATTTACACTGTTTAAAAGTCTCTATGATTTTCCTCAAATGTTTCCAAAATCAGATTTAATTGTTCATGTGAATGTTGGAGAATCTACAAACTATGTGCCTTAAAATAGCCAACGCTATAACTGAAGCTATCCACCATCACTTCTAGTAATTGTTCCATGTAGGCAAAACTTGGAGAAAATACATTTCATTAACCTATTAAAATCTGTGTTTAAATTCAAGAAAATAAAAATCCTATTTCTAAACTTTCTTTTTCGGTAAAAGGGGGATCCAGTTAGTCAACTGATTTTAATAAGAGGTGAGTTAAAATAATTTTGGTCGTTATTCAACCTGAAAATATGTAACGTTAAATTAGATTTCATATTCGTATATGAACTGTACAAAGTATGACAGTTATTGGAAGGATCTAGATGAAACTTTGAAGGTCTATTTTGAAAATATGTTTGTGTTTGACTGTGTATTCACAACTGTCTAGAGGTACTAATTTCATTTTACTTATTGCTATGAACTGGGACACTTGATTGTTTGTTTATGAAAGTTGTTGTTAGTGAAATGTTGAGAGGTTTAGTGAGGGCCACTATTGTATTGTTCGGGTAATGCAAAATAAGTTCGCATTGTTAGTAAGAGATGCGTTGTTGTTTTCAGCATCCTTATTTATCGTGTTTTGAAGAAGCTGTAAGTCCTTACCATTAAGTGGTATGAAAGTCTTTTTGGTAGTAGTTGTCAGTGAAGAGAGGATTACCCAGAGGAAGTTTTGTTAACTAAAAGTGACTGTTTAAGGATACTGTAAATAAAGAACTGTTGTAACTACTTTAGTTAAACGTTGTTGTTGCCCTTCCGTGTGGACCAAGTGTAGTAGTGAAGTTAGACAACGTTGCCAGTATTAAGAACAACGATCCTAACGATTCTATTTATTATCACACAATAGAAACATACGATTTATACATTATTAATA